CGCACTTTGATAGATTTAGTTCTCGGAAGCAGCTTTACACAATAAAACTATAAAAAGCAGCCAGAAAGCGATGGTCAAATATATGTGCGTTGGTCATCTAACCGCATGAAAAACAAATATGTGACAAAAAAAAAAGCCCCAGAAAGGCCCTATGTGCACTAATAGACATTCATGTTTACTAATTTATCTAAAAGACTCGTCGGATGGGCTAAATGGTTAAACCTAACCTAACTTAGTTTAACTTAATAAACTAATTAATAACATATTTAAGCCTACTTAGGCAGCACAAATGCTTTGCCCAGTTAACCAAAGTTACAAGAGAAGATTTCCGTGATTTAACAATAGGGAAAAGAAAACGAGGAGGCACAATAACTCATGACCATGTCAGAATAACATCAAGGTTGGCATAGAGGTCAAAACGGATAGTCATAAAAATTACAACAACAAATGAGACCTTTCCTCCACGAGATATTTAACAATTAAAGGCAGCATATCTACAAGGTTCATCGTTATGCAAAAGCCTTTCCATACAACTCATCTATCTAAAATTATCATCAACGATATTGCAATTTAAATCACCTCATCATCATTCAAATGGTTTTTCATTTTATGTCATGAGCTCATGCAAATGTTGATTTTGCCAAAGCTCATTCCACTTAAATTTGTGAATATTGCATTAATGATCCCAGAAATATATAAATTTCGAGTAAATGGCCGCCTGTAAACGACCCCCTCCTTTGTGGCCCCATCTTTCTTTGCCCTTCTTGCTCACAAAGTTTTTAATTTCTTACCACCTTAACGGAGGGATACAATGTTGTTGTTGTTAAGGCTAGAAGTGAGGGGGGAGACAAATTAAGACTCGTGGAAGGGGAACAAGCACAGGAAGGTAATTAAGAAGGCACTGAGAAGCAAGTGAGGAAAGCAATTTCATGAAGATTAATGGAAAATGAAGGAAGCAGCATAGTGTTTTAGGAAAGTTTTTTCTAAATCAATATTTACGTCAATTATGAATTTTTTTGAATAGTTGAAGCATGAATAACACCGTATAATGAGGATGGTGTGCTACCAAAGGTTAAGGATTTGGTGTTATAAATTGATAACAAAAGATAGGGTCCTGAGTAACTAATAATATAAAAGGCCTGTAAATACCTCTAATTTTTTTTAAACATGATATTGAGCCCACTATCTATACTAACTAGTTTCTAGATCTTAAAATACATCAAACTTCAGTTATGCAGATATGGAAAAAAAAGGTATGAGAGACACAGGAACCTTCAGTTAGCACCTCGCAACAAAAGAAGAACAAATGCACCCACCAATAATAAGAAAGGCAGATAACAAAAATCAAATCATACAAAACACATTAATGGTTCAACCTCCTAACAAAATTTTCCATAGTTACCATTAAACCAACCTCTCCCCCGTTCTCCACTCAGATTAACCAAAAAAAAGGGTGCATCAAAAAAGGCATACAGAGCACGATAGTAATTCGGCTTCCAAACAACTTTGTGGCATATTTAAAAGTATATCACATCCACACTCCTCTTGGAAAAAACATACGCATAAGGGTGTCAAATCGGGTTCATGTGTCAGGTTAGCACTTAACCCAAAATTGACCCAACCCAAAACTATCAAAACTATTTAACCCAAAATTGACCCAACCCAAAACTATTTAACCCAAAACCGACCCAAATATTTAATGGGTCATAAAGCCTAACCCGAACTCGACCCACATTTATTTTGATTAGCCTGAACCTGACCCACATCAGTCAATTAATATATGCATAAAAGCTGGGCCGAATTCAAATCAATTTCCAACCAATTTTGAGTTGATGGATCAGATTCAGATCAATTGTGGCTTGACGAGTTAATTTTGGGTCAGTTTCGGGTTTATGGACTAATCCAGAACCGAAGAATTAAACTTGTTGGGATTTTTTTCTGAACTTGACCGAAAAGTTAAGCAAATCAACCCAAACATAGATTCATTTAGTTGGGTTCGAGTCAACTTGGCATGCTCCGTCAATTTTTAACACCCCTCCATGCATACACATAAAAAAAAGTAAATAAAATCAATGCAATTAGACAAATATTAATAGTATCACGGTTCAAACTAACGGCATTTAACAAGAGATCTAACGGAGTTCAAATAAATACGAGCCGAGCCATAAGAAAACATCCAAAACCAACCAGGTAACCAAATCAAGGATTCAAGCCCAAACCCGTTTTTTCAAGTTAGGGCAAGCACAGTTGGTTAGTGCATAGTTGATTGTGTTGAGTAAAATGGGAATCTTCATGACCAAATCCCAACATGTACATGTCGCGTCGATCAATTTCAAATATATTACCAAATAAACAATAATTCATATGACAGAGTCAATCAATTCGATCTCCTAACCCGTGCACAAATATATTTAAAAAAATAATCTTATGGATATCATGAGAAAGGAAACGGACATGGAAAGATCCTGATAGTCTATGAATTATTCATTTTTCCACTTAACATTGACAAATTTTACGTTTGCTCACAAGCATGCGGCTCTAGCAAGACATGCATGACAAGAAATCAAACTAAAATAAATTATTTATCTGTTGGGAAGTAAAAGCTAAACTTACTATGAGAAACAAACAAGAAGAAAAATAAATTCTCCTGAATTTTCTTGGCCGTTAATGGGTACTAATTATTACACAACCCCGTACAATAAACTGAGATTATCACTTAAAAATATTGCTCGTGCCTAGGCACGCATCCTATAGCATTTGCTTACATAGGTGTAACTCCTTTCTATCATAGGCATGACAGGATGAGAACGAACGCACTTATTTGTAAATGCAGTACATAGGTTAATGGAAAAAAACCAAAAGAACATCTAGCAAAACCTCGCTGAAAATGTTAAATTCCTAAACCATCTAAATCATGGTTGGCTAAACCAGTAGGTTTCGAATGATTATTTGAGGAAATGATCATGTAAGGAAATAAATATAGTATTACGACTGCTTAACCTGCAACTGGTTGATTGTTAAAATCCACAAAACACATTTAAAAATACATGATCCATCTCATCATTTGTTTAGTTGCGACCAAAGTTGAAAGTATACTTTCTGTAAAGATCGAGATAGTAGCTTGTGTTAAATAAAAAGGTCTTTTCTTTTCTATATCGAGAGTCAAGATGGAAGGATATGGAATTATAGATTGTGTGTTGAACTGAGTTTTAGGATGCATTTGGGGCAGCTTGTGCTTATCCAGATAAGTCGTTTATCTGGAAACGCGAACCAAGGGTTCGACCCGCGTTCCGCGTTTAGTATAAAAAAATAACTGTGTTTTCGGATAAGCTGCTCAAACGCAGGTTTCAAACGATTAGACGATGTTTTTAAAACGCCGCTGCAGCGGGTAAGTTGCCCCAAACGAAGCCTTAGTTACTGAAAATATTATAAGGATCTTCAATTAAAGCTATTTAAAGATGAGACATCTACTGAAATAAATGAAATGTTACGCCAATAGAAAAAATGATTACAGCATAAACATCTGGAATTAGAAGAATAAATGTGGCACAATATGACATATATTCAATCTGTGCGGTCTTACTAAAAATTAGTCAATGTTGCGCGATAAAATGATACAAATTGCACAATAAAATGATACAAAAATGTATTATGATTAAGTATCTTTGATCCATTATACAGAGAAAAATGATATATGTGAGGAAATGATTTCTTAAGTTAAAGTTGAATAGCTGAAATAAATTAAACCATAAAGAGTATTATTTCATAAGAGAATATCATGAAAACTTAGTTCCATAAGAGAATAACACGAAGTCTTAAAGATCAATTTTATAAAATGATAATCAGGACAGGTGTATTGTATGGACCCAATTGTCAAGTACAAAAGTCATTGTTAGCAAAGTAGAGTAAAGAAAAAATGAGCATATTGATTTGATGTGTTGCAAAAATATAAGAAATGAATTTAAGAATGATTAAATTAGATGGCAGAAGACTAACATCTATTGAATATAGAATAGTAAAAATAAACTTTATTGAGGGCGGGGGAGTAACACCTATTGAATATAGAATACTAAAAATAGGCTTTATTGGTTTGGAATCTAAAACAGATGATAGAAAATGCACTAATATAATGGGTATTAAAATTAATGTTAGAAGTTATGCAAAGATTTACATGGAATAGCTTGTTGACACATTCAATACTCGATAAAAATGAAAGAAAAATAATAATGAAAAAAAGGCAACATAAACAGATAGACAAAGATTGATGTTGATGAAGATGATGATCATCATTATGATAATGATTTTAAGTGATTTTTGGCTTGAGTCGCGTTTAATAGTGTTGGTTAGCTCTTGAGTGAAGAATTAAGTGTGATTTGTACTTGTGGCACATTAAAAATAAACATCTATTTGTTTCATCCAAGACTTCTATACCTAGAGAAAGCCTTCATATACTGAAAATAGGCTAGGAGCTTGCATACTTAAACGATCGCAAGAGCAAACTAACGAGGAAGCAGAAAAATGGTTAGCAACTTATATCAGAACTAAGCACCTACCAAGAGAGATGTAGTTGCTTTGCCAGAATGAATCAGAAAAAAAAATGATGACAAGGCACTAATTGTTTAAGGCTTTTTTGGGATCATTTTTTTAACTCATTTATTTAGTGTGTTTTTATATGTTTTTACCTTTTGTTCCTAAAAACAAATTAAAAAAGTTATTGAAAACATTTTAATTTTTCGAGTGTTTTTAAAAATAATCATATCTTAATCAAATCTGTCAAACATATTTTGTTTCAAATTAAAACATAAACAAAACAAACTAAAATAAAATTAGAAATTAAGAAGTTATCCCAAACGGCCCCTTAGTTTTAGAAATGCTTCTGCGAGTTTAGGCATCTATTAGTATGAAATACTGAAAAGTAAAATTTTAAGGCTTAAACCATTTTCAAAGAAAAACTTTTTTTTTTTTTTTGTGTGGTTTAGTAGGACTATAATGAACTGCACCTTGAGGCGTTGCAAACTTGTAGTTGGCGGATCAGCAATTGCCTTAAAAATCCTTGCTTTCATGGCCTCATCTGATGCCAGCTTTTGCAGCACCTCTAGCTTGTCCATCCATGGCTTCTTCTCTGGTAGAAAGAACCAATAGTACTCCATCAAAAACAAAACTACATGCATAATCCACCTATTTATCCGAAACATGGCAAAAGCAAAAGACAATGATTAAAACAAGGGAAAAGAAATGCTCACCTTCAAAGAAAATACTCGGCGCCACGAAATCGAACCTAAAACCACAACAACAAGCCAAAAATAAGTACTTGTCATCAGAACGCAGAGCAAGCTTCGATCCACCAGATTTTGTTTGAGTAGAACCAAAAAAAAAGGGAGTTTGGGCAAACAGAAAGAGGCACCTTAGGGCGTCAAGGACGATGATGACGAGTCGGTCCACGGCGGGCCTCGTCCAGCATTGACTGTTGTCGCTAGCATTGAGTGGACGATCACCGGAAAATGATGAATCGTTTATAGGAAAGTGAATGGAACACGGTGATTCGAACTGATCAGAGCAATGGCTGAATGAAGAGAGCTCGGTTCGGGTTAGGAGAAAGCCGCGAGTAAAGAGGTAGATGGCCAAGGAATGCAGGGTGAGAATCAAAAAGAAGGGACGTATCAGATCCCACTTCGAAGCAGCCTTCGCTTTTATATCAGAGGAAGAAAAAGAATCGTGGTGTCCGGCCGTAAGCACAGGCCACTCATCCAGGCAATGCTTTGAACCTTCTCCCATGACAGTCGCAGAGTGGAGGACTCACTCAATCCGGCGATAGGAAGGAGGCCTGAGAAGCTGGAGGTGGAGGATTCAAATCAACGATCAATTGGTGTATGATGTATCGGTGGCCACCACCGAGTGAAAGGCGACGACTGATGCACGCATACGCAAGATTTATGCGATATTTAAGCTGAAAACGGCCATTTTTTATCCTGCAGAAACTTAAATCCCGTTTGGCCTCCTTGTTGCCTTAACTCCCGCATTCAGTAAATCGTGGCATTTGTTAGAGCAGGATCTAACCTTGATTTGACCTAAATCCTGCCAGACAATCCACTTGGACAGAATAAAGCCAGGGATTTTATAAATCCGGATTTTACTGATTTCGAACCAAAAGTAAGATACGGAGTTATGAAGTTACCTTCCTACATCTGCCTCCATAGTTTCGGTTAGAAGCGGTGCGGAAGAAGAAGAAAGGTGGGAACAGTTGCCTTAGCTCTAATTGCGACTGTATCGCAAGGGTTCGGTCACGAAGGCCATGGTTTTGGTCGAAACCGGGAGAAGGCGAGCGATGTAGTAGAGGGTTTTCGCGCCGAGGGGAAAATATTAAATGAGGATGCATAAATTTTTATTCTGTATATTATTCATATTTTATTATATTTTAAAAATATTCTCATTATTATAATAATATAATAGAATATCAATATCATCACAATAATACATGAATAAAGCGGAATAATATAGGAAAAATACTCCCGTGTTACCGAGTCATATCACATAAAAATTTACGTGTTTCCTGGAAGCAACACGTCTGCATATCAGTTAAATCTGAACATAGCTATACGTTAGGAGTCCTTATGTAATATTTTTCCTGCGCGGAAGGGAGAAGCGAGGATGGTAGAGTTGTTTTAATTTAGTTTTATTAAAAATATTTTTATTAATTTAATTGATTAATAATTACTTATTAATTATAATTTTATTAAAATAAATATTTTAAATTTTAAAATAGGGGAATTTAAATTCTTAATTAATATAATTGATTAATATTAAATGATTTCTTGATAAGTAATTAGTTTAATAAAAATTAATAATTTATTAATTTAGATGGTGCTTAATATATATATATATATATTTTCACTTAACAAATTCAACAACCTAAAGTATGAGTTTATGAAAGGTGATGTAGGACAGCTAGGGTTGTAATCAAGCTGAACCAAGTCGATTATATCATATTTCATATTTGGCTTGGTATAATTATAAATTGTTCATGTTCGGTCTGGGCTTTTGTCGAGCTTTCATATATTATTTAAGCTTGATTTATTTGAATTTTTTAATTTCTAGACTTAATTTATACTTTATTTCTTTATAACAAGTGAATGAGTATTTAAACGAGCAAAAAATTCAAATGAATATCTAGATTTTCATACGGAAAATTCAGTAACTAATTTTATAAATTTGGTTCCAGCTATTAATTTATTTAATATAAACTCTAAAGCTTATAATATCTTAAATCTTGTTTCTCCTCCATTTTGCCCTGAATCTCTTGCTTAGGGGATGCTTAGTAGAATAATTTGTGTACCATTTAAACATTATTTAACATAAATTCTTACAAACAACTAAAAATGGCAACTTTAAAATCTAGAGAAACTTAATATCAACTATTTATATATCATACAGTATGTAAGCTATCAACGAACGAGTTAGTATTTTATTTAATTAAATTTTATTTAAATAATATATCATATATCATACAAGTTATAATCGAGTTTAATATCGAATATTTAACAAATTATTTGTCAAACAACAAATAATATTACGATCCCGAATAATAATGTTATCGCAAGTTTTATTAATGTGCACATTGAGAAAAAAACTCATATGATTTACATAGCAATGAGAAAAACATATAATAAGCCTATAAAATGGACTGGAAGACACAAAAAAGTAAGAAGGAATCCCATAATACATTCTAAAGGAGTATAATTAAACTATAGTTGGGGTGGAAGCGAAGGCAATGCAATTGTGGCATTAACTTTAAGTTGTTTACTAGATGAAAGTTAAAATGAAAGAATGTTAATTTCTTTAATAAAAATCAAATTAAAAACTTAACAATATATCCAACCCAGTCTTTAGACATCTTAGAATGGAAGGCCGCCCTTTGGCAAAGCATTAATCTTGCTCGGCTAAGGTGTTCTGATTGGTGGGCCCCATTAATCCCAATGCAATTAAAAATCTCAAGCTACATTAAAATCCAAGCTAAAATTAAAACTTAAAACACACTCCTAAGCCATTAATTGCTTGATTTGATAGCACACAAATGATAAAAATGAATTTCAAATCAAATTAAATTTAAACACAAAATTGGTTAGAGACACAACATGTTAAGCCACGCATAATAGGTATAATTGCTAACCTACTAACTTAAACTTAGATTAGGGTACTTAGAGTTGATTGTTAAGTGTTATGTGGTTTTGTGATGTGATGAGTTATTTGACATGAAGTTTTCATGTTATAAGATTGCTTGTATGTTAAACTATATGTTAGGATGACAAATATCTCCTACAAAAAAACGTACCTGACAAGGCAATAAATGCTCAAGCAATTTAAAATAAGAAGCCAAAATATCTTCTTGTAAATGCTATTATTTTTAGCATAATAGAAGCCTTAGCATTTGTGGATGTTAGACTATGCATGTGCTTGTACTTGTTTATGTGGTTCTACTTGTCAATTAACCCATATTTTGTATGTTCAGCCGAGTTTTTTTTTTATTTTTTTGGGTTTCAATTGTAATTTAAAGTAAGATTGGAGGTAGGGTTTGGGGCAATTGGATAAGCAAGGGTAAAGTGCATAACCTAGTGAGAACTTGTGAGGCCAAAAGAACATCTAGTAAAAAGAAGGCAATATATAGAAGAAGGATGAAAATATTTATAAGCCAACCATAGCTCTAAGTTAGTTTATACAAGGGCAGAGTTTGACTGGCTTATTTTTTGTAGTTTTTTCCTTTTAGGGATTGTTGTTATCCCTAATATACATTGGTCTTATATTATTTGATTTGTTTGCAGTGTTTTGCTTGTTTACATTTATGCTCCACTTGAAAGTATGTTGTTCTAATATTTCTTTTATATGCATGATTAGCACTACTTAACTTGGTAGGCTCATATGATAAAATTTTTTTTCTTACTCAACTCAATTAACTAAACAAATATTAATAATAAAGTTGTAAAAAAGAAATATGACTTCTCTTAAATAATAATAATAATAATAATAATAATAATAACAACAACAATAACAATAATAATGATGATGATAATGATAATAATAATAATAATAATAATAATAATAATAATAATAATAATATGAACTAGAAAACCTACACAAAAATTTATCCTTTTACATTGCATGTTGATTCATTCCTTATTTTTGGGCGCTTCACCCATTACACTTACAGGTTTATCTAACATGTGAGAATGATTGTCTTTCCTAGAAAATTACATTAATAAAAATATATTTGGTTTTCTATACACTTAAAATTTAGCACAAGCATCTATGTATTAAACTTTATACCCTGGATTGGATTCAAATAAAATTAAAATTAATAATAAATTAATTAAGAAAAGCTACCAAATTTTATATAAATTAGATAAATTGCATGCTTGCATATTTGATCCACTTGATTTTCAAGGTTAAGACATGATTCCTATTAATTATCATATATTTATATAACAATTTTACCTATCTTAATTGCATGTTATTAGACTTCATGAATTGGAGACGCTATATGGCTTACTTGGCTACCCGTTTTTCGGCAAGGTCATAAATATAGTAGAGTTGGATCTCATTCCCAATTGATTTTAAACTCTACAAGTCACATTGCTTATCATTAGACTATGTTATAACTTTATACCTAACAAGTAATGCTTGATTTATTTATACAATTTGAGGCACCCTATCACCTCTCATTACGGTCCAAGTTTTACTTCTTGGGATTCTTCTCAATATTATGTTGTGTGAGTGTAAATCATAAATTTATAGTAAATCGAACAACATAAATTAAAATTAACTCCCAATTTAAAATCTACATCCCAATTATATGATTGTTTGAAGCACCACTGAGCCTTTTGGTATTTGATGCTTCCAAGCATTCATCCATTGGCCTTCGATAAGAATTATCACAAAATTGAATAAATCTCAATTAAAATCTCAACAAAATGATCTTGAATACTTTACTTTAGTAATTTATAGAAATGTGAAAGATATTATTTTAATTGAGTGTTTTTTCATGGACAATTTCTCTTATAATGTAATCAACTATAAATATTTGCCTTTATGGAGAACCTCTATATTGGAATTGATTAAACTCAATCCCACAAAAATTTGGCAGGGGGAAATCTATGAAAATGTATAGGGTCAGTCTTAAATATATTTATTTTATGATCAAATCAAAATTTAAAATTTATTATTATCTCTTGATATGATTTATTATTTGTAGTGTATTATTTGATAAAAAAAAAAAAATGAAATAAAACTCTTACATGATTGACATCATTTGTTTCATGTACGAGTGAGATAGCGCGTCACTTAATTTTCGTGGCTAATCATTCTTCCAACGATGACCTCAAGAGGGATTTTCATCGGATTATAAGTATATCTAGAGATAACTAAAATGTAACATTTAAGACATTAAAAATTTATTTACACAATTAATTGTGCTCTCCAACCTTCTTAAAGTTCTTAATATATTCACAAGGCTTGTAAACACATTTTAAAAGCCTTGTAATGGAAGATCCCTTGTGCTATGTTTCAATCATATATTAATTTATAGTCTTGATAAAGAGAGCCACATAAAACACTTAATTTTTATTTTTTTAATATTTAGGGTGATTTAGGGTGAAGAAGCTGCATACGACTATTAAATAATTTTTTTTTTTTACAAAATTAAGCAAATTCTGTAGAAATTGTATTACCAATTTTAGAGCTATACTTGACTTGCCATTCCCAAATATTTCACCGAGGAATGAATTTTTCATAGCTTTGCCACATCTTATAAATGATTCATTAGTAACCCTAGCTCAATCATGACTCATACGATAAAATTACTTCAAAAGAATTTTTTTGTGAACTCAAGATGTTCAATAATGCTAAGGGTGTGTTTGAGAGAACTTATTTGTAGCGGTGGTGTTTTCAAAACGCCACATTCAGTTTGGAAATCTCATTTCAAGAGTTTTTTATAAAACTCCATTTTTATTTTTCTACTAGACGCGGATCGCGGGTAGGACCCCACGATCCACGTTTTATGTCCGAAAGACACGACTTGCCCCTCTCGTCGCTCTCGTTCCTCCTCTGCCCTAATTTTGCACGTTGCTCTCGTCGCTCCTCTCTTCTCCCTCACCAATCGAGCACGGATAAACAACGTTTTTTTTCTTCTCCCACACTGTGCTGCCGCTCCTCTGCATTGCTCGTCGCTCCTCTCTTCTCCCTCACCGATCGAGCACAAATAAATAGCAATTTTTTTTCTTCTCCCGCACTGTGCTGCCGCTCCTCTACGTCGCTCTCGTCGCTCCTCTCTTCTCCCTCACCGATCGAGCACAGGTAAACAACAATTTTTTTTTTTCTCCCGCACTGTGCCGCTCCTTTGCTCTTGTTTCGTTTCCATAGCACTTGCTTTGATTTTCAAGAAATGCGAATGAATTTCTTCTTTTTCAGTTGATGGATCAATTTTAACACGATTCTTACACCTAAATTTATATATCTTACACGTATATTTTATATGAATACCTTACACCTATTATCTTACACGTATATTTTATATGAAAATGTCGTGGAAGTTGCCTGGCTCTCAAGCATCACCAATGGCTTTATAACAATAAATATCAAACTTTGGATGCTAGAAATGTAAACACATAAGAATTTTGTGGTTTCTATGTAAATATTCCATATAATGTCATGACATGAATATTTTTTTAAGTGTTAATACACTAATGCACGATTGCATTAAGAAGTTTGGTAAATTTGTAAAAAGATCTGCAAATCAGCTGGTTACAAAAAACACAAACCAAACAGCTGCAGTTTATCCAGTATAAGGGCAGATTGATCATTTTTCCAGAATCAGCTGTTCTCTAAACGCACAAACCAAACAGACAGACAACTTATCTGGATCGGCTGCTTATCACCAGATTATCAGGATAAGCAGCTTATCGAGATAAGTTGGATAAGCTGTAGCTACCCAAAACAAACCCTAAATCAAATCTAACTCTCAATGACATTCTCCTTGATCCCCAGGCTCCCTAATTCCTCTAAATTCATTCGAACTCACATGTAATGCATTTGCAGTTGGTATATGTGATGTCTTAAGCTAAGAAAATCATCATGCGGTCTTTTACAGTGAAAACTTTAATGAATCAAAATATAGATACTATATTTATCAAAGAAGATTTTATGTTATCATTCTTTCTTTAGGATAATAGAAGAATTACCCTTTGCAATGAAAATTTATTCTTAACAATGACCATCCTGTCTTTAAATTGTATATTGTAATTTTCTTAAAAATTATAATTTATGTCACAATTTTTCGCGACGACTCATTATATATTTTAAAATGCATTATTTTATTATTAAAAAATAGAAGGCAAATGACATGTATATATAAACATGCATATATATATATATATT